GTTCGCCTCTGAAAACGGTCACGTGGAAATTGTACGCATTCTGCTAGAGGCCGGGGCCAGCAAGGACCTTGCCGACAATGACGGTATCACTGCCCTGATGTGCGCCTCTGCAGCAGGTCATGAGGAAGTTGCAAACATTCTGTCACTGCCGTGATGTTCGCCTCTGCAGAAGGCCATGTGGAAGTTGCACGCGTTCTGCTAGAGGTCTGTGCCAACACGGACTTCGCTAACAATGACTGCTTCACTGCTTTGATGCCCGCTTCTGAACAAGGCCACGTTGAGGTTGCACGCATTCTGCTAGAGGCCGGTGCTAGCAAGGACCTTGCCAACAATGACGGTGTTACTGCCCTGATCGCAGGTGCCAACCCGCCACGGACTCGCCAAAAAGAGTTAGCGGTTTCTGTGGTCTGCTGATTGAATCGAATCTCACGGAGGCCACATTGAAGTTGCACTCGTGCCGCTGCTATGCCAATCAATGGTTGTCGTGCCTGTCTATAGAACCCTGACTGCCTCTCGGCGTCGCGCAGGCTGAACCACGATGTCAACCATCACCGAATAAACCCTAAAGGCCTAGCCTTTTTGTGGGACGGGTTCTGCTTTCGAACGTAAATGCAAGGAGCCGTGCTTTGAATTCATTCAACATCGTGTCCGAAACTGTTTATGAACATTAAGTCCCAAATCTATCTTACCTCAAGCCTTACAGTACTAAGGCGGCACACGGGTTTACTTTCAGGCTCAGTGTTTTCAAATTCAGGGTCTAGGGTTTTGGAGTTTAGGGTTAGGGCTATAAAGAGTGTATAGTGCGCATGGCTCTTTTTTGATATCCGGTCTGGGTAAGCCAGATCATACGTTATTGCAAAGTCCCTTAGGTAACGTACCGGAAGATGCGCACATGGGCCCCTGAACAGGGAGCCTTCATTCAAAACTCAAGTTCTTTAGGGTTTAGGAATTGGGGTTTAAGAGTTTTAGGTTTTAGGGTTTAGGCCTGCAAAACCCCCCACAAAAGCTCCTGGACATTCGGAGGTACAACAATCCGGAAGGATCGCTGGTGATCATGCCGAAGGAGGACGGCCACAGACGAGCACCGAGAGGGTCCAAATGCGCATAAGGGTCTTACCCTAAACCCTTAGCCCTAATCCCAAAATGTTTGGAATTCGGTGAACTCGGTGGCTTCGGGCTTCCAGTGTGGTTTGAGGTTGCTCTGAGGGGTCGAGAGGTCGGCATGAGGGCAGGAGTTCAAGCGAGCGTACCCAGAACGCCCTTTGGCACCCGAGACCCTGCATAATCCTTGAAACCTCCATCCCGACGGCTCCATGTACCCACATCGTATATACTTAGACGCTGAAGTACCTGTATATAGGATCCCCTTTAAGGCCTAAGTATATACTACGTGGGTACCATGGAGCCTTTGGGGTATTGTAGGCTCAGTTTGCGGTTTTGGACTCAAGAGCTTCCACTTCGCCTTTCTTTCGGATGGAAGCATTTTTTTGTGGTTTTGGGGTGAGGCACTTTACCTTACCCTAAGGGTCCATGTGCATCTTGTGGTATGTACTTAGAAGTTTTAAAGCAGCCAAACAGGAACTACACTAAGGCCAATGAATGTACACTATAGCTTACCTTAACCCACCAGAGCCCACTTTTTGGTAGGGTCTCGTTGAATTCCATGTTGGACACTGGTCCGTGTTCACTGTTGCGAAGTGTCGAGCTGGTGTTCTAGCTGCTAGCGGATACCCTAAACCCTAAACCCCTAATGAAACCCTAAACCCTAAACTTGAAGGAAGGATTAGTCTCCCTTTATGGTCCATTTTCTTACACTCGGTCCCGACATTCGTCTCTGATTTGCTGCAGTTCTGAGAACCGGATGTTTAAGGGTGCTTTGCTGGGACTCTACAAGCGTCTCATGAGGGTTCGTAGACCTAGAGCATGACTTTGGGTGATAAGCCATGTCACGGGAAACATGCCCAGATCTTCCAAGCTACCTTAATTAAGGAGTATACTTTAAATCATATAGGGGATATTACTTTACTTTAAGGTATACCCATAGGCCCCTAAGTAGTTCCTTTTTATGGTTTATATTTAGAATCATATAGGGTAACCCCAACAAGGAACTACTTAGGGGCCTATGGGTATTCCTTAATTGAGGAAATCTTGGAAGGTCTGGGTGGCTAGGGTTTTAGCATTAAGGCTCGTACGGTTGATGATATAAGTCCTGCATTATCCATAGTAAGGAATATACCATAATTCCCAGAGTTTAGGGTCCTTAAGGTAATGCAGGATCTATATCATCAACAGTAGTGCTTCGGTCTGTCGGATCCCCTATCCCACGCTCAAAGCTAAACCCTGAAGTGCTCTAAACTCCTTAGCCCTAGAAGTCTTAACAGCTTAACTCAACCCTAAAGCATAAACGGTTTAGTGGTCTAGGGTTTAGGGCAAAATCCCTAAGCCCTAAATCATAAACCCTTAACCGTACAACACCGTACGAAGCCTTGCCAGGACCGTCCCGACGAATTCCTTTTCGCGCCGCCGAAGCCTCGCCGTCACGAGGGTAAAGTCCGGAAAAGGCGATCTTGGGATCCTCTACACTCTAACACCTCGACAGGGGTCCTTGTAAGTTTCAGGGTTTTTGGGCTTCCTTGATCAAGGTTGCAATGGACCCAGCGATCACAGCGTCCTACAAAGTTCCTACGAGGGATTTATAGCGTTTGCTGGTTGGCTTTTACAGCTAGGGGTCCAAAACCGTAACCCTAAACCCAAAGCCCTAAAACCCTAAACCCTACACCCTCCAAAAGGCCCAACCAGCTAAGCTCCTGGGTTTGGGATCGTTGTCCACTTTTTTACAGAACCCTATGCTTCCAAGGACCTAATAGTTAGGGCCCTAGACCCCTTAAAGACCCCCCCAAAAAAAAGGCCCTGGAAGCAAAGGGGACTCCAGCGACTCGGGGTCTTTGAGAGAATGGCAAGCCCTAGGCCGAGTTGTTCAAACCCGGTTTTTCTTATAAGGTAGTATTATGGGTTTAGGGTTTTGGGGTTTAGGGTTTTAGGGTTTAGGGTTTAGGGTTTTAGGGTTTAGGGTTTTAGGCTTTAGGGTTTAGGGTTTAGAGACCCCTTTTCAGGGGATCCTTCTTAACCCTGCGTTTGGCTCCCTTAAAGGGGGACTTATTGAGAGGGACTATATCCCCAAGGGTCCCCTACTACGCCTAACTCCTAGGTTTAGGGTTGAGATGGGTTCAGGGTATATAGGGTTTAGGGTTGAGGCTGCGCCGACTGGCAGAAGCTTTGGGAAGCCGCCCAGTCACGGCACAGGAGCACTCTTTGCGCCACCAGCACCCCCAATTGACTCTAAACCCTAAACCCCGGGTAAACTACAGCAGATGATTTTGGAGTTGCTTAGCGTGAACCCTGCTGTGTTCAAACTTTGTAAACCCTCCAACTCAACCGACACGCGTCTCAGACCGTTTCTCATCAAGGCAAGCAAAGATGACAAAGAGTCCAGTGTTCCCAGGCCCCAGCCCTCACAACTTGGCAACAGCCAAAGCCTGGTCTAATTTGACATGTTATCCTAAAAACTGCGGCATGTGACCGCATCCGGGCATTCGTCTGCTCCCAGAATTCCGAGGGTGTGACACTGTATGCTGAACGATGCGGAACGTGATCTAGGGTCTAGCAGTATGATTCGTACATCTGGTTTCGGGGTTTCCAACCAGTTCTAAGCACAAGCCTACTGCACCGTGTGCAGGCCTCCCACCAGCAAGATGAAGAAGACAAGAACGGAGGGCAAGCAGGTTGGCACGCCTCAAGCCTTCGTGAGTCTAGTGTTCAAAAATTACCTGGCTACAATCAGATAGAATGCTTGGCAACAGGTTCCCCTAAGCTATCTGAACAGACGCTTTCAATTGCCGCTTACTGTAGTAGGTCACAAATGCCTTCAGGGCGCATCGTTCCCCAAAAGAAAGACCGCAGTCATATTGTTGATGATATAAATCTTGCATTACCTTAAGGACCCTTAATTATGGGAATTATGGTTCATTCCATTTTATGGGTAATGCATGATTTATATCATCAACCGTATCAGAGAGAGAGAGAAGCAGCCGTAGGAACCCTCGTCCCTAGACCCTAAACCCTAAACCCCTAAACGCCTAAACCCCAAACCCCAAACCCTAAACCCTAAACTCTCAACCATAAACACTAAACAAAAAACCCTAAACCCTAAGCCCGAAGCCCTGGAAACCCCAAGGTTTCTGCAGCCTCCTCCCAAGGAAGATCCGAACCCCATGGCTTGCAAGACGAATCCATACATAAGTACCTACGGTGAATATATATATATATATATGCGTACATATTATCTACCGATCTGCCTACCTATCTATCCAACCATCTATTCATCTGTCTATCTGTCTGTCTATCAATCTATCTATCGGTCTATCTATCTATCTACCTATCTATCGATTTATCTATCTATTTATCTATCTACTTGCCTATTGATCTATCTATCTATCTGTCTGACTATATAGGCCAGAGTAAACAAGCATACTATGAACAAAGATAAGAAACTAGATAGATATATAGGTAGATAAATCGATGTATGTATATAAAATAATATATAATATAATATAATATAATATAATATAATATAATATAATATACTATACTATACGATACTATACTAAAAAATATAATATAATATAATATAATATAATATAATATAATATAATATAATATATACTATATAATATAATACAATATAGGTATATATGATAGAATATAGAATATAGAATACAGAATATAGAATAATGAATACATGATACATAATACATCATATATAATATGTAATATGTACTATATAATATATAATATATAATATATAGTATATCAAAAATAGTATTTAGTATTTAATATCTAATATATAACATATAATATATAACATATACTTTAATTTATATATATATGTATATATATATACATATGTATATATATAAATATATATATATATGTATATTATATTATATATAAGGTCTATATATATATACATACATACATACATACATACATACATACATACATACATACAGGTTTAGGGCTTCAGGGATTTGTTTCTGAGTGTCCGGGACAAGTTGGAGAGCAGCGGCGGAGTTGCCCAGACCCGTGAGGCGCATGTAGAAGCCTCGTTGTTTAGGGCTTAGGGTTTAGAGTTGGGTATCTCTGAATACACTCCCCAAAACAAACATGGAACCCCAAATAGCGCCCTGTTTCTAAAGGACAGTAGCCTATGTAGGGCCCTTTTGGTGTTGAGTTTGGGGGAGAGCAAACCTTTGTTGCGCTGTTGAATCATCCACTGAGGATGTGTGTGGTGAACAGTTCAGCCTAGTCCTACACCGCACGACACCAAAGGCTACGGAGTGCGAGCTAGAGAGTATCGGACTGTAGGCAAACCTGACGAGGGTCAGGGGAATGCAGGCCCAGAAGTGCGGTGGATAGATAAGTGCTGCAAGCGAGGTTCTGACCTCCCACTTCAGTAGCATACTATGTTCATGGGAGAGCTCGAGCACCAAGGATTTGTCCCTTCCATTGGCACTGTCTGTGCCGGTACACCTGATGTACCTGCCGCACGTCTTCATGAATTGTTCAATGCGGCTCTCGCAAGGGACCTTGAAACCCTTGCCTTGCACATCCCAGTAAACAGACCCGTGCGCTAAACTCCCAGCCAAGCCTGTCGTCGACAACGCTACAGCCGCGAGACGGCAGGTCGAACTTGTTTTGTACTGGAACCAGCCCTGGCCATGCATGAGGAGTGGGCTGAACGCGCATCATCAAAACGGAGAATTTTCCACGGGCTGGAGTTCCTGCGCCATAATAGTAGAGCACCTCCCTGGCGATGGTCACCTCATTGCCTTCGAGCTCGAAGTCCCAGAAGAGCGGCGATGTGTCGGTGTCCCACTGAGGGTTGTCGCCTCGGCACCTCAACTGTTTTCCTGCGGGTGGCGACGCGCAGGTGGGCGAACCTTTCCGAGCGCCGTTGATTGTGAGGATGGGCGTGTTCTTGTTGTGCTTGACGATGGCAATGATGCGCGCATAGCCTGTGGAACAAGTTTCTTGGGCCTCTTATTGCAAAACTCCTGTGTTGGCATGGTTTATATTGGGGCCCAAATAAGTAGGGATATAATGAGCGCCCCCCCTTAAGCAGGGTTCCGAAGGCCTTTGGGCTGGGACGTGGAGAACTTCACCTCGCTCCAATCGCCGTCAACATCCTCCATGGTCCAGACCTAGGCCAACGTGCCTACAGCAGCTGGAAAAATGATTTAAGCTACCAGCTTTTTGCACATGCCTACCTTCGTGCTGGAGGTCAACATGTCCACGTTCACCAGCGCGCCCATGGACTTGCCGAACAGCTCGCGCTGCCTTTCCTCCTTGGCCGTCGCCCCTGCCAGAACCTCAGGGCTGCCGTGGGTGAGGCTCCCCTCGTCGCGACAGCCAACACCGTCGCACAAGACCTTGCTCAGCCTGACATCCAGGAACTTGTCGAGGGACTGCTCGAGCAGGTACCTGTAATGTGAGTTCACCCCCTTCAACTTCGCCTGCATCTTGCGGTAGATGTCGAAGTCGAGCACCATATTGGCGTCATTTGCGCACTGCACCGCACAAGTGTCCTTGCCGAGGCCACAGCACGCCCTCGCCTTTTCGCCACCTTCCCCCCCATCAACTGCATCGCAGTATCCACGCATGGTCCGGACCACATTGGTTTCCTCAGATCTCGGTTAAAACTAGCGTCTGACTGATATTCCTTCAAGGAGCAGAGATTTACAAAGCTTCGCGCCGCGCCTTCGGCGCATACTTCGTCACGATGTGCTGCAGGAAGTCCGCGAGGATGAGATCTGAGGCGGACTCTTTTCTACGGGGTTTCGGCAATTTGTGCGGTTGGCCGGGGAGCAGCTGTTCAAGGGCTTGGGAAGGAGTTCTTGGTGCGAAGAGCAGCCTTTGTTGCTGTTGCCGTAGAAGTCCAGCTCGTTGAACCGGGCATCCACAAGCGCGGCCGCTTTCGGTCCACCATTCAACTGCGAAAACTTTGTCTTGGCTTGGTTGATGTCATGGAAAGCAAAATCGGTCACGCTGCCCCAATTCACGTGCTCCAACACGAAGTAGGGTGCCGGATCTCGAGCCTAGGGGATCGACAAATGGGTCGACTGTGGTAGGAGAAGCCAACAGCAACACTGCATGGGACCCTGCCAAGCACTCTGGTCAAGTCACGACTCCTGCTTCCGGGTACACCGGTTATGTATTCAAAAGTCGAAGGCACAAGGGTAAGGCTAAGTTGACCCTTAGGCAAATAAAGAAAACAAACTCGCTGCCAAACCAATATACGATTCCAGGATTCCACAGGGCGCAAGGTTTATGGTTGTGGAACCCTCTCAAGACCTCCGATCTCAAGGAATTCCTGCCTCGCAGGTGCAGAGCATGTGTGAAGTGGTGATGTCCTGCCGAAGCTTAAACAGAAAAGTTCAGGGCCTAAGGTTGGGGGCTGCAAATTCTACGGGCTCCAGGTCTGGATGGGCCCGTGCCGGGACCCTGGGTTTCGTACAGCCTCAATCCCATAGTCCCAACACCATCCGCACCTCATCGCATCGCTTGTCGGAGGAAACCTGGCCAGGCAAAGGTACAGAAAGCAGGCATCGCCCAAAGCACATGTTCCATTTTCCATATATCGAAGGAAGTTGTCACTTTGTAACCAGGCCCCACGTCTGGAATCACAACTTATGGGACTTGGTATGGGCCAGACCTCACATCCGATTTCCCAATGTCAACATGCTCAAGGGTGCAAGGGGTTCCCCAGACGACACATAGACTGACGGTGTGGAGACAGCCAATTGTCCCCAATGCTCCCCATGACCAAAAAAATCACAGCCAGTTTGGGTGGGTTGTCTTGAAAATGGCTGTCAAGCTTTCCCGTGGCCAGCTGAAAGTCTCCATGGCCTGCGTAGTTGTTGCGCCCAACACACTGGTAGGTCGCCGAATCGATGGGCCAGGACTAGGAGCCCATATCCCTACATTGCATTTCACTAAGATTGAAGAGGAACCAAGCAAACAACGAACCGCAGAGGCAACCAGCGTTGGGAAGAAGCTCCGTAAACTACCGTGAGTGTATGAGTGAGTGAGTGAATGGATGATAATCACTTCCGGCGCCCCCGCCGCCCACTGCCCTCGGGCAATTCTATCTAAACTTGCTAAGGAGCGAGCATCCCAAGCGTGGTGATAATTGTGCTGTGCTTCATCATAGGCTGGGCTGCCAAGTATCAGGCCTCGCAGGTGCCTGTAGACCCCACTGCCGCGGCCGCTGTGCATCGATGCCCAATGCGTGCACAGTACCTAGCAGGGCCCTGGATGCTCCCAGTCTGACCAGCCAGCAAGCCAACGTGACCATGTCGCCTTTGTCATCTTCTAGCTAGAGCATCAAGTGGTAAGAAGAACTGATGCATTCTAACCCGTTCTCCTGGAAATCAAACTGGAAGATGGTGGGATGAATGACATGGATGAAGCTCTTCTCAAACGGCCATAGTCCCCGAAAAAGCTAGCCGTGCTACGAAACGATCTCGACACCAAACCTGTTTCATGGGCTCTATGATTTTGAAGGCCGCTATCAGACTCCCTGTATTGGGGGGCCGGGGTGGATGTCAATAATGCAAATACGTATCAAACAAATTAAATGCACTAATATGTCATCAAACTTCAGATGTCAATTTTGGTTTGATCCCATTTTCTTTGTCTTACTCATTTAATTGTGTTTGATACTTGTTGATGTCTATGCCTCTTGTGGGCGACTGTGAATCAACAACTTTCTTTCCAGCACAGGGCCTGCTGCAGCGGCCTGGACAGGGTCAGAAAAATCAGCTCTTAAGGTCTTAAGGCAAAGGGCCCCTTGGTTGCTTGCTATATTTCGCCCCAGGGGGGCTTTTCGGGCGAAGGATCAGGGGAATGCCTTTGTGAGGGATCTATTTGGCTGAAGAAGCCGCGAAGCCCCAAAGTGTTCAGATTTGCAGCGCATGAGCAAGTGAGGCTACTGTGTTCTGGCATCCATGGCCTCCATACCAGTCTGCCTGCCTCAGTCATCAAGCAGTTCAAGTTGTGCGCAGGAGTCAGTAGCACAAGTGCTCAGAACTGCCGAATCCTGCCATTTCATGGGGGAGTGGGCTGGAATCACAGTTTAGGGTTTAGGTAGAATCCTCTTGGGGGCTTGACCAAGCCACACGCGACCCCTGCAGCCGCTACAAGCCAGGCCCACGTTGGCCCATTGCGCGACGGGTGAGCAAGTCTGGCAAGAGCATCAAAGGGTCTGGGTGTTTAGGGTTTAGGGTTTAAGGTTGTCCGAGGAGATGTGGTAGGTCATTTGTTGCTGGGAACTGTCTAGATCACCTTATAACTTGAATCTCAAAACAAAGCCAGGCACCGGCACAATGCAAAGCAAACCACGCCCCTTCGAAGGTCCCTGAGAAAAGGCGCTGCCTTGTACGTATCCGCGAAGTGATTCCAGAAGTCCTCTTTCGCACCTGCCAGACCGGCCAAGCTGGTCACGCGTGGTGCCATGCGCATCACGCTTTAGGGTCAGGCTTTTAGAGCTTAAATTTCAGGGTTTAGCAAACGGCATGGGCTCTGAGACCACGGTGGCTGGATTTCGCCTTGATTCCCATAATAGTGGTTGCTGTAGTCCGGTTTGCCATAGTGGCCGTCCACGAGTACAGCGGCGTAAGCTCCCCCGTTGTACTCAGCAAACTTGGACGCTGCGGCATCGTAGGTGTAGAAAACCTCGCTGCTCACACTACCCCAGTCCAAGTGCCGCATGACGACGAAGTAGGGCAGCGCCTGAAGCTTCAAGCGACACCAAGGTGCAGGCGACAGCATCTCAAGGGGCAGGCATACTGCGACAATGCTACAAAAACTGGCTGTGTGGCATCTTCCTCATGTTCCTAGCCCTGCGCAATGATGGCTTTTTGAGCTCTGGCAGAAGAAAGTGCAAGGCAGTGCCTTGAAGATCTCCAGGTCAGCATGTGATGGATTGGGGTTCGGACATCCAATGAGGTTGAAGTTCTTGACCAGCGTCTGGTTGGTGAGCATTGGATCCACGTCTGCGAAACGGAAAAGATGCTCTCTGAGCCGTTGGAGCTTCTTGTTCACCTCACTTGCTTGTTCGGTATGCGTCCTTGAGACTGAAAAAACACACACAACCAATTCACGTTGCGGAAGATCTCGGAGAAGATGCCGTAGTGGACGCCAGCCTTAGCGGATGATGACAGTTTCTCTTAGCAACGTTGGCGCTCGAACAGCTGCCTAGTTTCCTGCATTTTGAGTTCAAAGCGGCAGTAGTGCGAAACATGGCACTGCTACATCTCTGACATCATCTTCATCATCATGTTCCCCTTCAGGTTCCCCTGGTAAGGTCACACCGCCCATTCCATAATACAAAATGGGGGTGGTATCCTCGCCTCAATTTATGAATGGAAGTGTGAAATGTCATTGTCATATGATATCGGGGTTGTGAGGTCACCTCATCAACGATGATTCGCCAAAACCGCACACCCACACAACGAGGGGGGGGGGGGGGGGGGGCGGCACCTTGTCTAGCTGCTTAACTTGTAAAATTGGGTTGTGAACAACATGTCATAAATTTGCGATTTGGCAACATGGAAATGATACCCATACCAGGACTGCACAGTGAACGTATATGCGTACGGTTATATAAACACATGTATGTACTAAAACCTAACTGCCCTGCCTCAGATGCACACACCTACACACTGTGTATCTCAGTGTTGATTTTGGATTTGTGCTCTGCACATCGGAGATGCAGAGAACAAAAGCCCAAATACAACACACAGATACACAGTCTGTGTGTGTACGTGGCAAAGCATTTAGGAGTTTAGGGAATTTAGGGATTTAGGGCTTTTAGGGATTAGGGTATTTGGGGGTTCAGGGCATTTAGGGCTTTAGGGTATTTCGGGGTCTAGGGGTTTAGGGCATTTACGGTTTTGGGGTATTAGGGTTTTACAAGGCATTTAGGGTTTAGGTAGGGCATTTAGGGGTTTGAGGCATTTCCGGCTTTAGGCTTGAGGAATCTAGAGGCTTAGGGTATACTGGGAGTTCAATAGGGGGGTTAGAGCATTCCTGGATTTAGTGCATTTAAGGGTTTAGGGCATTGAGGGCTTTAGGGTATTTGCCCAGATGCAGTACAGAATTCATGCTGTATGTATCTCTAAAAAAATATGTGTATATATATATACACTGTATATAGTGGTATATAGGGTGTATATCTACATACACTGTACTAAGCCGTGGCAACTAACTTTCAAGGGCCTGGACATGCACCCTTGACAAGCAACAACCGGCGGGCAGCAGAACATATGGAGTCATCATCATCATCATCATCATGATCAGCGGTCTCACGAGCCACAAGATCTCTGAGAAGTGAAGAATAGGCGCGAAAGCATGCACACGGTGTGCCGAAGTGCCGCAGCATCGCTTCCTGAGGCATTGGCCAGGGCATCGAACATCGTCACCGCGCCAGCACCAACTCGATCCCGGCACGATGTGGTGTGCCAGCCATCGTGCAGACCTTAGCACGTAGAGCTTTATGGCCTCCAGGCATGAACTAAGGAGCCAGTTGTGAAGATAGGTGGACCCAACCGATTCCTCCCAAAAGGCAAGCGGCAAGGCAAGAAGAGCTTGTCTGCGAGATGTGAGATGCTGCTTTCCACCGCCATCAAGTACGCCAAGGCCGCATCAGAACCCATAAAATCCAAGGTGGCTGCGGAGTAGAGATCTCCAGTGAGCTTGCGGATCTCCAGCTGCGTCTCCCGCAAACTGTTAGCATCAACGGCATCCTGGGGGGCCAGGGATGCAAGGTTTCAGAGACACGTCAGTTGAGGTAACTTATATGCTTCGCTGTTACATCCGATGTTCACGGATCTGGCTCCCTGGAGCCAAGACAGCAACAATTGCGTTTAGGGTTTAGGGTTTAGGCAGCCCACACCCCAAACTGCATCTTTCAGCTCGTTCTTCCTTGAACCTCAGCGCCTCCATATCCCAAACACTAAATCCAAGTTTGGCTGACCTCTAGACCCTTGAAGCTTTCGGGGCTCTATGGGAGGTCCTGGATGAGTCCCCTCGTCTCCTCGAGCACTTCTTTCATCCATTCCTTCTTGGCCTCGATGCGGGCCACGGGAGAAAAAGGGGGGCTTTGTACAGGGAAGGGGTTGCTTTCAAAGGCATGTTGGCCTTTGCGAGCTTTTCGTCGATCATCACCCCGACCTTATCTTTGGTTAACTCGTCGTCTTCGAAAGGCATGAACATGTCGACGACGGCGAGCGTGGTAGCCATGGCAGGCCCAAGCAGAGGCGCATATTTACCGAGACCCTGGATATTGGTCGCTACATCAGCAGTGGTCTGCAATATGACCTGCGTCGCATCCCAAGTTGCCTCATCCCAGCTGTCCACCGTGAACGAGTTTCCCTCGTTGTCCTCGCCTTCCATGGCTTCAGAGGAAAGATAGCCCGCCGAAACGAAGGTAACCACCGTGCCGAAGCCCAACAAGCCTTGATTTTTCGGTGAAAGGCTCTCGACCCAATCGGACAGTTGCTCCACTCTGCTGAGCCTGAGTTTCATCTTAGCATTGCCAGCAAGCTTTCGTTCCGAAGTTTTCAGGCTGCGAGCCTGACTGCCTCGCAAGGCTTGCGACTGGGTCAGGTTCCCCATGGGCACAGGTGTGGGGCCCGCTGCCAAGGATGTCGAGACCAGCATTAAGAGGCCAAAGGGACGCCTCATGGCGACCAAAGGGACCCTGGAAGATTACAAACTAATCTTCGAGCGTTCTTGAGCCGCAATGTTGCTCACCTGCGTGTTGAAAAACCGGTCATCACCATACAAGAATGCTTCAGAGCTCAGAACCATGAAAACAAGGTCTGGAAAGCCCATCGTGCATAAGGGCTACAAACACCCTCCTGCCGTCAATGAAGTTCCAACTATTGAACGTTCGGCCTGTGATGACGAAAAGGGAGGTTCTTTCTGCCTGTTCGAAAACAGAAATATCATTCATGACAAATGCGTTGCAAGCATCCTGAGCATGAAACCCGCTCTGAGTCAAAATGCCAAATGTGTGCTCAGTAAATGGCAGAGTGCGTGCTCAAACGAATGTTTCTTCCTCGCACGTTTGGCCTGTGGTGGCGCAAGACCACCTAGGTTTAAAACTGAACTCATCAAGAGCACAGCTCTCGGCCAAGAACGTCTTGTTCTGCCGGAGACAACAGAGCCAAGGGCTTCCTTCTTGGTCGCCCGATAGCCTTGTTCAGGCTGCAAAAAAGCCCCACGCCAATTCGAGGTTTCATTGAGGCATGGTTGGCAAGGTGGGATATCCTGAATACCTGGACATATGGTCAAGCACAGTCAAAGAGAAGCCCGGAAATTGGAATCAACTTTGTCCACTTTGGGCTGTCGGCATGGTTCATACGCAGTGGGATGCAACCGAACCGAATGCACCACTTTGGGCTGCATTATCAGGCGCTGCGTGATCGGGGGAGTGTCACGGCCAACCTCCACGGAGTTGCACGACAGTCAATAAGTTGAATCAATGCGGCATTGCTTACAACCAAGCGGAACACAACTGCGAGCGAATGCTCTGAGACTCTGCGAACACCCCAGAATCTCGTAGCATGACGGTGCCTGGATAGTATTAGTGATGCAGACAGACATTGGCGGCGACATCGATGGAGCCACAGGGCTTGGCGGAGTTGAAGCCGAGGTCATGTTCGCTGCATTCACCATCCTCCAGGGTCCTTCAGCATTCAGATGTGTGGAGCATTGACTTTCTGGCACCCGACTCTCGTAATTTCCTGAAACTACTTTGCGACTCTCGGCTAAGATGGTCTGACTTTCTGCTGCGACTGTGTGATTCCCAATCACTTCAGCAACTCAGACAACCCAGCTTGCCCAACCTTGGCCGTGGGCAGGGCTTCCGAGCAGAGGCGCCTGACGTCAAGAGCGTCCATACTCGCAAGCACCGAGGAACAGAGCTGAGCTGCTCAACGGGTTTTGCTCCGGCCAGCTCTCTTGCTGTATCTACAGTATAGACACCGTTGGTTCGGGTAGGACCTTCCTCTCTTCCGCCACTAACAGCTACCGTGGCGACCGGCTAGCTCCGATGCCACCGCACGTTTCCAAGCTTCACATCATCGGCCCTAACTTCTGCGGCTGCGCTCCGTGATAAGAAGGTGGGTCTGCACCATCCAGCTGTCCACTTTGGATCACCGGCGTCGGCAACGTTCTCGCACTGGAAGATCGACCCACGTGCTCTGCTTGACGCCACAGGTGGACATTCAAATCAGAGCTCGGTTGACGGCAAGAAGACCACAGCGGGACTCGGGAGTCTTGAGGTCACTGGCGGGTCGGGCAGGGCAGCTGCGAGAATCCAGCGGGTCGCGCCGTCTCCTTATCTGGTCTCGAGGCTACGCATCCTGTGAGTCCAACGAATTGTTCAGAGACAGCCTCAGCTGCTGCAGCTGTCGGTCTCGCTTTGCCACTCTCTGTTGCACGCTGTGCTCCAGCTCAACCAATTCAAGCAAACCATCGCTTGCAGAGGGCGACCTGTGTCGAAGAGAGTGCTGCTGTCTGGCCCGCATCTCACGCAGCTCCACACGAAGCTTCTTTGCAACTTCGGCCTCCTCTTTGGCAGCTGCCACCTCTGAATGAACTGCCTCAGCAAGCGAAGAAGTCCCATCTTTCCGGTCCTCTTCTCTCTGCCACGTCTCCTCCTTCCACACTTTCCGATGCTCGCTGAGCATCTCCATGCCTTCTGCTTCGATGCCCTTGCAGGCCTCTCGCAGCTCGGCCAGGCAGCTGAGCTCCTGCTTCAGCGCCTCCCGAAACCCAGAGCTGCGCTTCGACAGACGCTTCCAGTCCTTGGAGGCTTCCTTCTCGCAGCGCAAGGCCAGGGACTTCTCGGACTTCGCGCCCGCCAAGCTCCGCCGAAGCTCCGAGGCTTCGCTCAGCGCCCGACTCAGCTCTCCGGCCTCCCGCCGACGACCTCTGGCTGCCTCACAGTGAAGGAAAACGTTTGCCGGGCCGGATGGGTCTAGGAGTACAGAATGTAATCGTGACTTGAGAACGTTTCCAAGCGGCTGTGTCAAGAGGCTTCACCAGAGTCTGCACATGAAATACATCTCCGACAGATGGGCGACTTTGCTGCGCGGCGGCAACCTCCACCTCCATCTCCAGCTGAAGGGCATTCTCCTCAAGCTGCTTGGAGTAGCGCCAAGCTTTATCTGCAAGATCGCGTTGGATGCGTGCGCATTGCTTGGCTTGGCCCTTCCACTTCAACGACTCCTCCTGGAAGTCTCCGGTCAATCGGATGCTCTCTTCAAGCCGCTGCTGGACCAAGTCGAGCTCATGAAGCTCTGTGCATTCTAGATTATTCTCTAAGGCAGCCTTACTCTCCAAGTCAGACTCGCACACGACCAGCTGCTCTTCTGCCTCCAGCTTTCCAAGCGCTCCATGCACACATCTTTGCTCTTCTGCCACACATCGCTCACTGAGAGTCAGCAGCATACCATAGCCATTCTCTTGGACCGATGACTGCTGCTTGCGGAGCTTGCGGAGCCTTCGAGCCTCATCGCTTGCAGTTTGGAGCAGAGCCCATGGAGCTTCGGCCACTGATGCCATTGCATCTGAATGGCATTCGTCGGCTGCAGCGACTTGAGCTGACGCCAGCTCTGACCTGCAATGCTCCAAAGCATCTCGCAATGCGACAACTGATGACTGGCGGAAACCAGTTGTGCTGTCGCGCAGCCTGAGTAGCAAAGTTAAGGCCACGATTTCTGCCAAGTTGATCTCCAAGTGTTGCAGCTCGGCGAGTGCCTTGTCGTCCCTTCTGAGCTGCAGGATGCCTTGCAGGCCTTCCAGGCTTCCGTCGGATCCAGCGACTCTGGAGGCTCCAGCGTCCGGTCCGGGGCCTTCCGCTTCAGCGAGCTCTGCGAGCTCTGCCAGCTCCGCGAGCTCGGCGTTCCGCCTCCGCAGCTGCGCCTCGCAGAGGCGGCTCCGCGCCAGCGCCGCCAGCAGCCGCGCGTTCTCCCGCTCCACCGGCCGCAAGACCTCCCTGAGGCCCTCCGGCAGAAGCTGCTCGAGATCACCCAGAGGGCCTTGGCCCAGATCGCTTGGGCCGCTTGGGGCTTTTGGGCTTTCGGACTCCGACGTCATCCCATCGTGCTCTCTTGCCTTGAGTGGATCTTCACGGCTCGCCGGAGAGTTCATGTGTGCATCAGCTTGCAGAGCCGCAGGAACCCAAGGCCCAAGGTGCTTCACCCAAGTAATGCGATCACTGTCTCACGGCCTGGGGGGATGGTGTTAGCAGTGGGCTCCCTGCGCTTCGCGAGCGATGGACCATCCTTGCGAAGCAATCGCGGGCGGTTCCGCCAATGGTCCCCTGGTCTGCCGGCAAGGAACATCGGATTCTCCAAGAGCTCGGGCTCAAGGCCTGGGCCTCGGCCAAGCTAAGCCAAGGCCAAGGAAACTCAGAGCGACTCGCGCTTTGGGCTGAGCCTCTCGAGCTCAGCTGCCCGTCCGAGCACGAAGCCTGCAGCGCCAAAACCCTCCAAACGAGACCCTCTCTCTCCAATCCCGCCTGCAGAGGCAAGTATGTGACAGGAGATCGTAGCAACCTCGGCACTGCACTCGGGGTGTTCGGCTTGCCTGCGGCTGACCGGCTCAGATCAAGACGACTCATTCTCATGCTCTCGCTGGCTTTGGGATTTTCCACTGAGGCGTCGTTCATGGCTAACCCTGAGGCAAACACGTGTTCCACGAAGCTGCACCTTGCAACTACTCACTCTGATCCCGCCTGCTCGGCGAAGCCGCCTGGTCTCAAAAGGGCACGGCAACACAGCTCAGAAGATGACAGACAAAACATTGCAGACCAGACATGCGAACTTTTCAGCTTCAGCGACCATTCCTGGTCTCCAATCTGAAACACCAGTTGAAAATCCTGCGAGTCGCCTGAGCAGCATGATCCACAGGCAGCTGGCCTGACAAAGAGATGCGATGCTTCGGCTCGGAGCGCTGCTTTGCCCTAGCCGTAGCCCCCGGAGCCTTGCTTCGCTTCTTCGGCCTCAGCGAGAGGAAGGACAGCGACAGCGAGAGAGGAGTCACTCTCGTGCTGCGCCTCTTGGAGCTTGCGGCGAAGCAAGTCAGCACCCAGCGAGAGCAGGCCTTCAGCGAAGCGAGGCCAGTCCGCCGACTCTCCTCCAAGGGCCGAGGCTTCGACCGAGCTTTTGCCGCAAGACGTCGAGCTCGTTATAGGTCTCCTGCGAGACACCCATCATCCGAACCTTCATGGCGAAGAGCTCGAGAAAAACTCTCGGGTCCGTAGAAGCCCGCGCTTCCTCGGTCCTAGTCACTTCAGCTCTCTGCTCTGAAAAAAAACAAAATCTTTCGTCACACGACTTGCCTTTCGCAGACTGGCTGCGAGGGCGTCAGCGGGAGCGACGGCAGCTGGGTCACCTACGGCGGTGCGGCCCTACGACTGCACTTCTGGACACAACTTCGCAGCACTCGCTTTGCACCTCCAACATCTGAGAGCTTCCGTTGCTGATCCGAGAGCTTGAAGGAGTCTGGCTCGGACGCCGACGGCGCGGAGACCCCTGCGGCCGCACTGTCATTTCCAACTGCCTGGCTGCCTGGCAGCCTCCCAGCAGCCTGCGTTCTGCAAGCGCGGCCAGGCAAGCGCTGCTCCTGGCGGTCACGAGCTCTGACTAGGCAATGGCCGAATCGCACATGTTCGGATCATTGCTTGGGGTTCAGGCTTGGGCTGCTGAGCCAGCAAACACCCTTCAACACTCGTACACTCCCAGACAAAGCCCTTTACGGCACAAAGAGTACCAAAAAAAAGGACATGACATGTAGCATTCCGAGAAGCCATGGTACTCTCATGGCGACTCGAAAGTCCTGGCATAGCCGCCATCCTCCCAGGCGCCCCAAGCTGCCTCCAGGCATGCGCCAGACCGTCAGACTCTGAACGCAGTTCACGATGCCTCAAGGCCCGGACCTGTGGATTCATGCAGGCGGCTTCCCAACGCAAGCAGCTCTTTAGCCTCCAAAGTGGCCACGGTAGCGCACTGCGCGGTGCTTTCATCAATACCACCTTTCGCCCGCCTTTCGCTGCAGGTCTTCTTTGTCCAAGGCCACCACCTCAAGCAGTAGCAACTCTTTTACGCGACTGTGATACACATGGGCAGCACACTCTGTAGCACCACTGATGTGCAGTTGTCTTGCCAAGGACCGAGCCTTCTCCACAAACTCCTTCCGCCTGTGTCCGATGGCATGCTGCGGAGTGTCGAAGGCATATCAACAGACTGATCGACACGATATTTACGTCAGGATAATTTGACCGAGCTTGTGTCCGGATGTGTCCGGAGCATCTCAGCTTGGGTCTACAGGGTGTTTGAATAATGTGCAACGCGCTTTCTTGCAGCTGCGACCATCTGTCGTGGGTGATCTAGCTGCCAGCCTTTGTATGAGGCACATCCCTTCGTTGTAAAGTCGTTGGCCCACGCCTCAGCTCAGTGCAGGCTCACGGTCACCAACTGCTGGCACACAGCCGCCAAAAGGCTTCGTGTTGGCGACCCGGGTGAAGACGGTCGCCGCAGTCGAGGCCGTGGCCTCCGGTCACGACGAGGACTGTCGAGCCCGGTCTCCAAAGACCCAAAAGACATCCGCTGCCTGCAGACGGGCGAAGACCTGAGCTGGAATCCGTTCAGACTGGAACCTCCTGCATGGACACAGAGCCGGACGCTGCGGATCTTGGAGCCTTCCACCAGGTCAAGCCAGACTGATAAGGAACAAAGCTCTGACCGCCTCCGCACATCTTGGAGAAGGCATGGCCTCAAGAGATCGACCAGATCCCTTCCATCGCTTCCATCCCTTCTCTTCAAACTGCGAACAAAGAATAAACGGAGGCCATCGCGGGAGACGGCGACGCACTCTGCGAAAGCGGCACGTCGCGGTTGGCTCGGGATGCCTGCAAAAACCAGTTTTTTTGGCTGTCACACCGCGAACCTATGCGATTCAAACGCAATGAAATCACCGGTTTTGGCTGCCCACATGGCACCCTGTGGATGTCAAGCCTAGGAATTGTCACAACACAACCCTCAACTCGGCACTCGCCTCCGGGCGTCCAGAAGACCTGGGCTTAGGCTCTTGCAGGAATACGGAATCTGCAACTGATCCATCTTTTCGGTTCTAATTCCAGGCGCACGGTTTGCATGGTAGTAGGCATTCTCAGGATGTTCTCGGGCCTCAGGCAGGCGTGCTTTCCAGGGTTTTTTGTGATCTTCTCAGGATTTGAGCTGAGGCTTGGTTTCCAAAGGACAACCTTGTACTGTACTAGTGCTGTAAAGTACCATAGCACTGGTACTCGACGACTGCTGCTATCCTCCCGCCCCTGTTCGGGGTGGGACGGGACTGGGATGCATACTATTCACTGCATCTCTGAGCTTGGAGGGTGCCCCATTGAAGGAGGTGCCAAAGTAGAGCTGGTGAAGGCCATCTTTTCTGCACTGATGTACCGGTCCATCTGTACAGGACTACAGCGCTTCTCGAAACGTGAGACTCCAATGCAAGCGACCGTAAAGCACACAGCCTTTCCGCTTGCACAGGGTCAGCTCATTTATGGGCACGGCGCAGGCTCCAAGACTGTCCCTTACCGGCTTCTCTCCACCAGCGCACGGATCTCCTCAGAAACTTCAGGGACGAAGCGGAGAGGGGCTTGGTAAACGGGGCTACCCAAGGCCTTGTCCAGCTCAAGGGTGCTGACGTTCAAGTTGAAGTGGTCTGCCTCCCCCAAGGGGCCCCGATGCCCGAACCTGCTGAGATGCCCGCTCCAGCCTCGCTAAAAACCAAGAAGAAGCGAGTGCAGACCAGCTCCTCCTCGCTTGCGACCCAAATCCTCACGGACAGACGGAATCTTTTTCAGTGCTCTCCGTCTTGCTGAATGGAGAGTGCGAGCGAGCGCTCACAACTCAGTATTTGTGCACTAGATCTTGGAAACGAGTCCTATCCGCTGCTCCAAGGAGGGTACACTACGGCGACACTTTCTTAAGAATCCAAGGTCGTCGTGAAGGAGGATGGCACAACAGCTTGCTGCATGGAAAAACACAACCTGCTGCAAAGTCGCTGTGAATTCGGCTTCCGCAATCTGCTCGGATCTTCAACCACCTGAATATATCTCTGTGGGGCAAAACAAGAACGAATCAAAGACAGGCACCTCGCACACGGCCATCATCACAAGACCACGCTGATTGTCAACGAAACGATTGCCTGACGTCACCAACGGGCAGTACAGGCAACTGTCACGTCTCGCCGAAGTGCTCTCCAGCCCTGTCACGACAAGCGACCAGTTTTCTGTCGCTTCAAAGCAACCACCTCCTCACTCACGGCTGGAGAGTACCGGGTATAGCCCATCGAGCATGAGCTTGCCTGAGCACCAATCGCACAATAAAAGGACGGGTTCCTCGGCAGGGTCCCCGATCCAATCTACGTTGCATCCGTGCAAACTCGGAGTACGCCCGAGCTGCAAATCCCTGCGGTCGAAACGATGCAGTGACCCATTGCTATGCTGCTATGCCGAGGCTCAGTGGAGAGGTAGATGCCGGGACCGTGAGCCGCCCCACATGTCATCAATTTTGTGTTGGACGCATTCCTGAGCTGATCCCCACAGCTAGTTGAACACAACCTGAACACTTGGCAAAACCTGAAGCTGCCCTTGTTTCCATCTGGACAACTGTGATTCCACAAAGTCCAAAGCTCGACTCAAGCACCTGAAGCTGCCTGCAAGAGTCTTCAGGCCGTTCCGCAGGATTGAATGCCAGTTCTCGGAGGAACTGCCTCGAGAAACCCCGCCCCAGAGCACCAGACAGTGATTGCAGCCTCCTGCGCCCCTTTGACTGGGACCATAACCGTGGAAAGCGAAGGAAGTGCGAAACTGCTTCTTCAATTCCTGGAATCGTGCTTCCTGTGCAAAACAAAAAGAAGTAAACAGAACAGCAAGAGCAAAGAGTCGCCAGAATGAATCATCATCCAGAATTTCCTTGTCTGGCGGCGCTGAGATGAGAAGGTACTGAAATGGCGTCCTGCGCAATCTGCAGAGTGGATTATAAGCAAACACAACCACACGGTTGTCCCTGGCTGCAAATGGACGCACCCGTCCTGAAAGCTTCAATTCGCTCGTTGTCCTGCCGACTCGCACAGCAGCGTAGACTCCGTGATAGCTACGAAAGTAGTGAGCATGTACATAGACATGTGCAGCATCATGTCTAGACTTCAAACTCATGGGCATCTCTCCCAACTTGTTCGAAGAAGACTCATGTCACTGATGATACCTGGTGAGCCGAAGATACAGACCTCTTAGGCTGAACTCTCCCAAACACAACGGCCGACCAAAGTCTCTCCTGCAAGGGTGCCAAGAAGGACCTGTTCGATGCGACTGTCCACTTCAGAAGGGCGGCAGCCTCTGCAGACATTGATGACGTTTTTGCAGACCAGGAAGCACCGAGTTGATTACCCACGCGTGCGCGGATGGTTTGCAGCTCCTGCACATAGGTCTCCAACTTGCTGAAATCCTTGCTGTCGGGATGCAACACCACACGTAGACCCCCTCCCACAGAGACGAATGCCTTTCTGTTTGAATGCGCAGCCTCACGTAGCTGCTCTCCCACCGACACATTTGGAAATGGGTCAAGTATAAGATGCCTTCTTGAAGACTTCGCTGCTGCTAGAAGCATGCAAACAAGCAAGTCGACCACTTCAGCATGATTGTTCATCCCCTCTGCAGACGTGATCTTGCTGCCGAACTCCCCAAATTGATAGGTGCACAGTTCGCGCGGACAAACTGCACGCATCATCATCGGCGGAAGCGTGAAAGGGGAGTCGCATATCGCGCAGTATTCATGTAGCGTCGGCATGCGCAGCTGCAAGTACCTTCCAAGACAGCTTAGGAAACCAAGCTCTTTGTCTGCTAGCGCTTCAAGCGTCAGTCTCTGCTTCTTCAACTTGAAGCGCCGGTACAGCTTGTCAGGAGAATCGTCCTCAAGGATATCATCTCCACCAGATTCGAACCCCTCCAATGCCGTGCAGCCGCAGACCAAGCAAAAATCTGTCAAAATCTGCATAAGCTGTTTCTCCAAAGCAAATTCCGGAAAGCCTTCTTGCCGGATTTGCGTGAGCATGTAAGGCTTGACAACTCCAAAAGCATACCCGCTGGCTGGCAAGCACAGCTCCACGCATATAGGGATGTCAGGCTTGAAGCCCCAGGCGGAAGAAACTCGCATGTCCAGGACCGCACATCTTATTGGCACGTAAACTCGCACACGATAGGTTTGAGGGCACAGCTGTGTGATTTCAACTGATCGATCGCCGAAGAGCTTTTGGACCGAGTCTAGGTCGATTTGCAATGCGGGCTCTGGAGGCCGATCAGTCACAATCCAATCCATGTCTTCCTCGCTGGCTGAGGAATCCTCACGCAATCGCCTGGATTTTCGCGATGTCAGTTCAGACATGACTGCCAAAATTGTGTCCTGCACAGTTCCGCTCGTATGCAGCTCGAAGTCATCAGGCCCGTACACGACCGTCGATTCCATTGGATATGGATCGGAAAGAAAAGCAGTGAAATCTCCTTCCAGACCGAGGACTTCGAACACGATCGTGTCTTCTTCGAGGTCCAGCCTGCACAATCGCTTGTCTGCCACCGCCACGAAGCGTTCTCGTGCATCGCGAACGTCCTCTTGGATGACTTCTCTAGAGCGGAGGGACATGGCTGTCAGAGACCTGCTGAGCTCGATCCGGAGTGGCAATGGTATCTCGTACGTTGCCGGATCGCAAGCTAAAACCACAACAGCGTTCAGAGCAGCACCCGATTTCCTGAGAGTCGCACCATCTCGGCTGCAGACGTCCAACCTCGACTTGTGGGTTTTTGCGTGCTGCGTGCTCCCTAAGCAAACAGCCGCAGACAAAATCACGTCTCAGGACTGGACGCCGATCTGAGAAGCTAAGTCCTGCAAGCGAAGCTGCGAATCTGGGCAAGCAGCTAGTTTCCCAATCTCTGACCCAGTTCAATCCTCCAAGTGCTGTGGCACCACATCACCATAAGCGTCTCGCAGTGCCTCTTGCACCTGCCACGAGAGGCGCAGGAAACATGTAGCACCGCAAAACCAAAAGAGCGAGAGGACAAGACACTCTTCCTCGACAGACAACCAAGCACAGTGCCGAACCTAGTCCGATCAACAACTCACTTGGCTCGGATGCGTTGCCCTCGCAGCCCTCCGATCTCGACTTGACTAAAGGGTCCTTGCTTGTCATCGAACTTGTGCTCTGGGGCCCGGCTCTTCAGTTAACGCCGACAGTCCTGGCACCCTCCTGGGTGAACAGAGTAGTGCACCATCCGTGTGGATTGCTCGCCTACTCACTGACTTCCTCACTGACTCGCTCACACACTCACTCATTTACTCGCTCACTCATTCCTTACTCACTCTCTCGCTTGCTCGCTCACTCATTTACTCGCCCGCTCAATTACTCATTCACTCGTTCCCCTGGTTCACAATGCTCTGACTTACCACTCGTTCTCTGATTCCTTGGCTCACTCACGTTTAGCCACACCGACTCACTCATGCACTGGCCCAGGCACCGACTCACCAAAGATTCGGTCACTCGCTCACTTGCTCGACCCCTGACAAACTCATCCTGACTCACACACTCCCTGACATACTGCCAACTAAGTAGCTTAATCTTTGACAGGGTCTTTGGCTCAAGTTCAAACATTGAAAAAATGCAAAACCTATTCTGTTGACTGCAACCCATTTGTAACCAAGCCTGTCCTTTCCAACTCCTGGCAAAATTAGCCACATGGAGTGGGCAGAAAAGCTTTCACAGCTAGTACAGGAACGCCGCGTCATCTGCATCACACAAGCATCACACATGGCAATGCTGTGGACCACCGTACTTCACAAAACAGTCGGGGGAAACACTGCACAAATGGCTCATTCAATCTTATGCACAACTCTGCAGTGCTTTCGTCAGAACGTCACCCGACGATCTGACAACACTGCTTCTTTCGATTGGCCTGCTCTGCAAAGTTGGTGACCCGGCAAAGCTCATCCTTAGAAGCCGATGTTCACATGAACTGCGAACATCAATGATAACAACATTGAAGCTGTTATTCTTCTCCCGATTCTCCCTAGCATCGCGCAATCGTGAACTTGCAATGCTGGGGAAGCTGGCAGGCTTCGGAGACATGAAGGTCCGACAAGTATGTACATTAAGCGCAGCTGGTGGGCCAAACGATATTGATATTGACGCTCTGCGCTGCATCTGAGTTTTCAATGCGCAAAGCGAAAGGCGGTGCACTACGGAACGAAGGAAGGATGCAAAATCGCATTTTCTTTGTTGCGTGACTCGATTACAATCACAAAAACAAACCTTGCAAACGGATGTTATTACCTTCTTAAACAGTGCCAATATGCTCCAAACTCAAGAAACATCAACTTTGCAAGATATCAACTTGCAATTTTGAAATTTCACTCAGACAAACATGTATCTCTAGAAAATTAATTGGGTGCTTGCGCTTGTTGTGTCCGGATTAGCTATCGCTTGGCAGTGTTTGTGATCAAAGCAGCACGGGATCAGAACCAGACCTATCTTTGTAAACCGATTCAAATCAAATCGTGGCTGCTCTTTTCGTTCAAGAAAGGCTTCGCAAGTTTCGGGTTTAGAAAAGTGTCGCAAAAACAACAAACCAAACTTCTGAAGAATTGTGTAAACCATAGGACTCAGACCCCCAGCCAATGTTTCGTTTCGGTTTTTGCACCACAACAATGTCATGCCGGGCACTTTATTTCACTCGCTGAAGTTGCTGAAAGTCGGTGCGAGTGGCTGGACAGGTGATGCCTAGCTGAATCTCCCTTTTCGGTCGATTTCCACATCTCTGTCGAGTGTGAGCAGCAAGTACACAAACACAACGGGTGGACTGACCCCAAATGCTTCGCAACAACTTAACGTGTGCTGTTGCGAAAGGAAGTGCGCGCCAAGTGGCAGCAAAAGCTCTTTCGCTCGCGTCAACTGCAGGGCTCCAATTTTGCATCAGTCAACCTGGACAGTTTCCAAGCACGTTCTCAGTTTGTGCCGAACTGTCCTTCCAGTCGAGTACTTGTTGCGAGTCGGCAAGTTCTGGAACTAAAAACTGAGCCCCTTGCTCATGATGCGGCCGGGAGGCTCCGAACAGCAATCGGGTTTTAGATCAATAATTCGACGTTGGTTTCAGAGCCGTTTGGCATTTTGCAACCACCGTCAATTTTTACATGCGGACCGGACTTAGAGGCAACAAAAACCGAATCTGAGTTATTCCAACATGTTCTTTGGTGTGCAGATTGCCATTAAATGCACCTCCCCATGATCCAACCATTTTCAAAAACGGATAGCTCATTCATCGCCTTTAGTTTCAATACGCTAAACTTCAAGTTTGTATCAAGTCTCATTCATCAGTATTCAGTTGTGTAAAGTTAGCCAGACTTGAAATCAGAGTGGCTGGCAATGCCAATTATCAGGCTAGCTCGTTCCTGTAAGTCTTTTTCAGCTCATGCTGCTTCTTCGCTTTTGCTCTTCATTGGATTGCGACAACGCTTCTCCAACTTTTCCTTGTGAACATCTTCTCTTTGTGCAACACAGAGCAGGAGGCAGTGTCTGGGTTAGGATTTAGGGTTTAGGGTGGGTTTGTGGTTTAGGGTTCAGGGTTTAGGGTTCAGCAGTTCAAACCTTGAAGTTTCTTTTCTAGCTATCTTCAAGAACAATTCCCACCCGCCCAGAGATTTCCCCCGCGTTAAAAAAAAAACAAGAATTTCCTACAGTCCTAAACCAAAAGCGTTAAACCCTAGAGTCCCACACAATAAAGCTTAAACCACACAACTCTAAACCTGACAGTCCCAAACCATAAACCCTGCCTGGAGCCCGAAACCACAGAGTCCTAAACAAAAGAGCCCTAAACCATAGAGCCCCAAACCATAGAGCCCTAAATCACGAACCCCAGACCCAGAGTCCTAAACCACAAAGCCCTCAACCATATAGCCCACCCTACAGCCCTGAAGCAGACCCTAAGCTGTAGCCATCCCCAAAAAATCCTGAATCTCCAAACCACATTTGTAATCATCGGGTGGAAGTGCACGTACGGCCACCCAGCGGTGAACATCAAACGCTCCAAGTCGCAATCTGTTGTATCGTCACGTCATTACTGCGGCTCTCTCTGACGTGACAGCCTCCAAC